ATCACTCTCATGTAACCCCGTTACACTCGCTCAGCGGAAAGAACCACTGTGTTATATAGCATGGATCTGAAGCGACGCGGATTAATGCGATAAGTATTACTTGCCTGTGCGAAGCATAGAGAATAAATAGTAGGCTACGTCACTCGCTCCGCGCCAGTTGTTTAAGAGATCATTCCCCAACGAAGTCATAACTTAGCACGCTTCAAAGGCACTAAGTTATCGAAGCTTTGCACAAGAGACGTTCAGGTCTTAGACAGAATCGTCAGGCGACTTTGGGCAGCACGATCTCGCTTTGCGCGGGTCTATTTTTGAAAAGCAAAAACTACCATGTGATGGTTAATTTTCTGCCAAAATATCCTAGCATCTTGCCGACTCGGTGTACAAGCCTGTACGATAAACGCGTCGTTAAAGGTGGTAATATCGGCATCCCTTTTGCCTCCATGAGACCGTATATTTATTCCCGTCAAACTGTAAGAGCCGCACGTGGGTAATATTTTCCTAGTGTTCTCAGATGCTCTACATCGTAAATATAATCTGCAAATTCCTCCTGATAATTTTGGCTGGAGGTGATGAGTTTACACCTCAACGACCACGTCGTATTTTATACTTCGCACATTCAAGCACTATAAGACATTTCAGTCGCACAAGGCTGATTCAAATATCGTCAGACAAACGAGGCTATATTTCTCAACCAGGGTGAGGATTGGTAATGATGTAATTGGCACAATCACCTGCATTCAATTCGAGAAATATAGTCCTTATGGCGACTTTGGGCTTACTCACCAGTTGCCTCTTTTAGTATAGGCAGTGCTCTTGACGTATGATGCTTGATGGACAGGTAGCGCAGAGATACTTTTCTTGTTTGTCTTGCTGTCTGTTTGAGCAGAACACCTGCGCTATAGAATGTTGTCTCGCCACGATACGGTGGATAGCCTCTTATGAATTAAGCTGATGGTGAAACATCAGAACTCGTTCGAGTTTTCACTTGTAGACAGGTCCGCTTTGATTGATCATCCAGATTTTGATCGTGTGTATCCAGCAAGACACCCGCGGTGGAGATTGTAGAATTTGCCACCGAACGAACCTGCTCAATTTGTGCGGGATAACACAGAACGTAGAACTCGAATCATCTTGACTGCTGCTCTGTCTTTCAACCATTCTTAAAAGCACAGATGCTGGATCAGAAATTGGAGAGTAAACGTTTCCATTCTTATCAACAAACACTCGGCTGCCTTATTGACTATGGCTTGAAGGATGTCGTCTGCGCAGCCGCGCCTTTCATAGTGGCTATCTGAGTCATGTGAACAAATTTCCGATAAATATCAGACGTTGTTTTAAGCTCGTAAGACCGTGAATGGGTTGAGCCGTTGTGAATGAATATACTGGAAGGGATTGACAATGCAAATACACTAAACAGAGCAGGAAATTTAGTGTGTAATAAGTAAAGTAAAGCTTGAGGTGCAGTTGGTGCTCACTCTCGCGCAATATCTATAAGAACTAAATGGGATGTGGGCCAAAGTTTGATCTACATCTTGATAGTGAATGGTAAAAGAGCCTTCCAGCTAGCTATATGATTGAGAACGTACATCTTATGCTTCTCTTTATGTTACCGAAAATCAATTCTGAACAATTTTACAGAATTTTATTACGCTCTGATGTCATAAAATTTTTGGAGGTGTCAATGGACACGATGAAAGTGAGGTTCGTTCAAAGAGTGGGCTGTTCGCTTACGTCATGCAATGCAGAATTTCAATATGCGTATGAAGTAAAACGCATTGATTAGTTCCTATTTTTAGATAAATTGTCTAGCAAGCTAAATATCTCGCTGCTCACTTTTTATATTGCTGAGCAACCGAAATATCTCGCTGCTCTAAAGGCTCGGTGTTGCCTATGGATTAAGCACACGAAGCTCACCCTTTCGTTTGTATTCTTTTTCGAAAGCCTAGATGAACCACAGTATGGGTCCTGCTGATGCCGATGATGCACCGTAGAGGAAATGTTCTGGAGACACATGTGCTGCTAGCCGCACGTGATTCAGTGAGATTTCATTCTATATTGTACACACAAACAATAATATTCGGTATTAGACAAAATTAAACTTTAATTGAATGCATATCACTTTGATGATATGTAACGAGGTTACATGAGAGTGACCCGTCACTCTCCCAAGGGAGGTGTGGTGTGGCATACACCACAGCTACTAGATGGGTACATGGCTTGAGAGCCACCCAAT